ATGTCCCTAGAAGAAAAGCCCACCTGTGTTTGATAAAACTGGAACATTTTCCATTCCTTGCTTTCTTTGTGCAGACTGCATTTTGATTCAAAACAAAATTCACCTTCTTTTAGGGGATTTCTATCCTACTTGTTTCTAGACTGAACAGACTCCCAGGACACCTAAAATTTCAGGTCATGCAATGCACACCCCGTGCTGCTTGTTGGGGAGGATTAATATTACTTCGTGTGCTAGATCACAATTTCAAAAGAACTACCCAACTGTCATTTCTGAGAAGACTTACAACTGTTTGGGGGATTTGCTCTTTACTAACTGCTGGACCAAAAATGTACCAAAAGCAAATGATGGACGTCCGTGCTGCAAATAGTACAAAAAATCCAGTCGTTCCATTATAGCGTATTTGTTCACCAGTTCAGGGGATGAAAAATGAGGAAAGTCACTCGATGCATCTAGAAAGAATATCATCATTTTTATGAGCTGACAAACAGTTGAACTAAACATAGAAAACAGCTTACAGCTACAAAACAGGAGATGACAATCAAATACCTCTCCCCTTGTTCAAATCTCAGCACACCCAAACCCCACTGAAATTCCAATTCTTACTGGAAAATCAGAACTCTAGATCACTTCTTAGGCCCTCAACTTGTTTTAAAAGAAAATACTGCTTTTACATCTCAAAATACATTTAGAAAAAATTATGTCTGCGAAGAACTTAATGGAGAAAGGTAATTTATCTAGGATTTATTTTCAAAACAAAATTTTCATACGTTACTTTTTTAAAAAAAAAAATAAATGACCTTTTTAATAAGTTTATCCGCCAAATAATTTCACTGAAAGGTATTTTATCCCAGGTGCTCAGGCTAAAAAAGCATATAAGACTTGGAAGTAACATACCTGATACAGCAAGAGTATTTGTTGACTGCCAACCAAATAATTTAGTGGGATCAAAGGGCACTAATGACTGAAAAATGATGAAAAACAAAATATTTTCAGACATCTTAAGATTTTTACATCAGACCAGACTACAGAATATTTAGGGACCTATAGCAGCAGACAACCAGGTGTTGCCCATGCTGCTATCAAGCAGTGATGTATCTTGTGCACTTCTCTCAGTTACATATTTACCTACTCTGTAGGATCAGACCACAAACAAGTGCAAGGAAAGGCTTAGACTTTGGTCTAAGGAACTAGGAAAAGGACATACTGCAGTATTTTGCCAAAATGTGATTTTAGCAAAGTTAACACTTTCCTAACAATGAACAATTTGTAGCATTTCTTCCAATTTTCAGTTTATCTCCTACCACAGATCTGAAGTAAAAGGCATTTGCCCAGAAACATGCCATGATATTCCATGACATTCTAAATTCCAATTTCCCTTAGACAACTAAAAACATTTTAAGTTCTGTATTACTGAACAATGTGCCCACTGAATGCTGCAAGACACTCCAGGACAGCTGCAGTTAAACACTGCAGGGAGGGTGGGGGAAGCCAGACTCACCCATTTCAACAAGCTGTTCAGGATGAAGCTATGGACTTTAGCTCCAAATCAAGGATTCCAACACATGGTCCCCACCCTCCAGGCTTCAGCTAAAACCAAGCTTCCCTCAGTTTACTTTTGTTCTGCTAAAAAGCACCAAGAAGAAGCGTTTTGTGTACCTGAACAAGATGGTAAAGAGAGATGTCAGGTGGCAAAATTCCATGGGAAGTATTCGGTGGAAAGAGAGCAGCTTTGAGTTTGGGGTAAGCAGTCAGTGCCATTTTTAAGAGCTGTGGATCAACTTTCTTTAGAGGTTTTTCCACATCTTCATTCTGAAGAACCTACATTGCAAGGAAGCCAAAGTGTTTCATTAGGAAGAAGACACTGCATTAAAACACTAAAAAAATCAATCTCTGAATCAACGTGTCAAACAAACTACCTCATGGGAATTTGACAGATGACGACAACACAAAAAGTACACTTTTTTCCTGGAAAATCCAATAAGTTATATTAGACATATCTTCAACAGTACCTGATATTTTAGGTTCCCGTGCTATGTATCAAAAAGCCATCTGTATAATAAATTCTGTCCCAACATGCAGTTCAACAAGCGTCTTTCTTTTCAAAGTAGAATAATTTATAATGTGCTTTTTGGTCTTTATGGCACAATGTAACTGGCTGCACAATATAACCAGCAAGCTGAAGTTTCTGATGTTAGCCCAGACTTCCAGACTTCCATGTAACCTTGAACCACTCTACTCGCTTCGTTTGGTCAACCTAACCCTGAAACTCGGAACACCAAAACCAGATTTTTGTAAAAGAAGAAATTATATGATGACATTAATATATTTATTCTTGTTAACACATTCCTTTGAGTTTTCAACACCATGTGAAAACTTCTCCAAAGGCTTCTCAATCATTTCTTGCACACAGTACCTGATCAATACCTCCGGGTGCGTACATTGTAGTAGCAAGTGCTAGTAGTGTACGTCCTTCCAGCAGCATGCTACTCACACTGGCTTGATTACTAGGAATCAGGATCTGAGCATTGGCTAGACTAGCCTGGAAAATCATCTTTGGATCTTAAAAGAAAAAAAAGTGAGATTTAATTTCACGCGAAATCAATATTAAATAACTAAATCATGCATTAAAACTGCTTTGTGACTAGGAAAAAAGCTGACTTTTCTATTTTTTGTTGTTAATAGTGATTTTTCTCCATTTACTTATAAATACAGATAAGCTGTTCTAAATTTTACCAAGCTTTGCTGAATTTCAAACCAGTTTTACCTAGACAGATTGATTTGGATTGAGTCCCACAGTTTAGCACTGCACTGGGTCAATTCTTTATCCTACACTGATCACACTTTCTGAAAAAGCTCCACTTGGGATTCTTTTTATCATACATTAATGTGTGACTCTATAAAAGAAGAAATGTTTTTTTAAAAAGTGAAATTAATTAAGGGCACAAATTCTACTGATTTGCAACGACAATAACTAAAAA